CGCCGGCCTGATGGGCTACTTGGCTCGCAGACTTAGCCAATAGTGAGGTGACCATATGAACAGCGTGGCAGTGAGGTAGGGTTTTTCTGCATCTGCCGTTTGACCCTGCCTCTATACATTTTAATCCACAGGGACAGTTTCTTATCTATACCACACTTACATCGCCACACTACAGAACAAAATTGAGAGACAGGAAGCTCGTTTTAAGGGGAACCACATTCCTCGAGTGTCCATGGTGCCTGGTGTAAGATCAACTCACGTAAATCCTATCTCAACTGGAACAATCACTAATACTGGAATTTCTCATACAATAACAGGTAATTGCTCTTACTAAGTTACATTGTGGTTCTGGCGTGATTCTTTATGTTTACACTGCAATCCTACCATTATGAACATTTGGCTGTAACAAGAGAGGATAAAGGATGGATTTGCGCTACATGAAAAGTTTACTCTAACTTTTTTCAGTTCGTCGTTAGTGATCCGCGTTAATCTTCTCCATCCTCAACCATCTTTGTTCCTTTGTGGTTTATTACTATCTCTTTGGTGTTTTTCTGTCCTAGTAAACTATTATTTTCAGGTTTCTTTCAATTTAAAGGTAATTTTTCACGTGGCCAAAATAACTCGAAATACCTTGACTTTGCTCCTTTATGGTAATCCCTCTCACGATATATTTAGATCACTCCCGTCCTCAGAAATCTTAGGAGGGTCTAAAAATAGCCAGTCACAGGACGTGAAAGTTCCTCACGTGGACTTTACGCGCATTTTCATCCTCCACGAAATAATCCACGCAACGCACATGGTAATCGGATTATCCGCGGGAGGACTGGATACCATATCTAACCCTAAGTTTGAGAGGGATCCCCTCGAAAATAAGGCCGACTAATTCTCTTAGGCCCCCTCCACAGTACGCTGGAGGAACTTGAAAACGCAGCTTTTTTTTTATGGTTAGGCCTTCCATCCACACTAATCCGTCACGATAACTGAGCTTTTTGAAAACGCTCTGCAAACCGGAGGAATTTGAAAACGCCGGCTTTTCGTTTTAGTGTTGACGGAAAACATTTTGAAAATGGAGTTTTTCGATAATAATGTGATTTCCTTGCTAATAATGTGAGTTTTTGTCAAACGCAAATCCAAAATGACCAGTGATTGTTGCGTTTTTTTATATATTTTTCTGGCGTAGTGTGGACAGAAAACATGTAATGCGTTTTCAGAGTCAAACTTCCGTTTTCGAATTCCTCCGGCGCAGTGTCTACATACGGGAACTTATCCTTCATCCTTTATTGGTTAGACTGACTTTACCATCTGTTGCAGGTCATTTCTGTCAACATATTGATGTGGGAGAGGTTAAGTGCGTGCGTCGGTCAGTTCTTGCTCGCCAAAACTTCTTTTATATGGCTGTACGAACTCTTGACATAATGTCAATTCACATATTTTTATTGCAGTCAGTAGCGATGGGACAGTAACNGAGGGATCCCCTCGAAAATAAGGCCGACTAATTCTCTTAGGCCCCCTCCACAGTACGCTGGAGGAACTTGAAAACGCAGCTTTTTTTACGGTTAGGCCTTCCATCCACACTAATCCGTCACGATAACTGAGCTTTTTGAAAACGCTCTTCAAACTGGAGGTATTTGAAAACGCCGGCTTTTCGTTTTAGTGTAGACGGAAAACATTTTGAAAATGGAGCTTTTGGATAATAATGTGATTTGTTTGCCCGAGTTTTTGTCAAACGCAAATCCAAAATGACCAGTGATTGTTGCGTTTTTTTAATATTTTTCTGGCGTAGTGTGGACAGAAAACATGTAATGCGTTTTCAGAGTCAAACTTCCGTTTTCGAATTCCTCCGGCGCGGTGTCTACATACGGGAACTTATTCTTCATCCTTTATTGGTTAGACTGACTTTACCATCTGTTGCAGGTCATTTCTGTCAACATAATGATGTGGGAGAGGTTAAGTGCGTGCGTCGGTCTGTTCTGGCTCGTCAAATCTTCTTTTATATGGCTGCACGAACTCTTGACATAATATCAATTCACATATTTATTTTTATTGCAGTCAGTAGCGATGGGACAGTAACAAGAGAAGACGACACATCTTCCCTCGCCACCAATCACAGTAGATTTGAGGTGGTACAGGTCAATGCGCTGACACCGCAAGACATGTTTCATAACCCCTCAACTGTCCAAGGGACACCATCGTATATCATTCAGGCACCTGCTGGACAGACATACATCATACAGCAACCGGCAGGCAGTTTGGTGAGACAGACACACACTGGAGAGCTAACGACTGGATCTGAAGGCATAGACAGTACCCAACACGATCAGGTAATGATTAAAGCCCTGGCCAAACGGACTCACTAGTAGTCGCTAGAAACCGCAAGTTGAACTTGAGTAGAAACTTGCGTTGGGCATGGGAAGCCAAAAGGACTCCCACGTTTCCTCGCAAGTACATGCAAGTCGCAAAAAAAAAAAAACATTTCAAGACTGCATATCCTGTATTTCATTGGCTAATAGGTTGCTATAACAATGAAAGTGACGGTGAAAAACTTGCGTCGACTTGCGTGCCAATGTGATCTCGACCAAAGTGATCGCAAGTCAACGCAAGTGCACGCTAGGCCTGGCTGGCCAAACGGACTCGCTAGTAGACTTGCGTTTACTTACAAATCCGTTTGTCCTGGGTTTGAGCTTTACTTACAAGAAGGCTTCTCTCCTCACTGGCTCGATTTATTCCGCGCTCAGCTCTTATCTGCGCACAGAAAATTTGATTTCTTCCTTGACGATTACAAGAAAGAACTGAAGAAAACAGAAATCTCAATATAGGCTACAGTCTGAGTGGGAGAGAGTCTCTCCCATACCCAACTCAACCCCACTGACAAAGACCCTGGNGCTGAATCAACTAGTGTCTTGATGGTCTCTGAGAACCCCATGTCCGTCACATCGACACTCCCATCACAAATCCTTCAATCACAGACTGACGAGAACCCAACCTTGTCGGACCCCACCCCCACATCAAACGGTACAGTATCCAGTGGGTTAGTTGTGAATGCTGCCCTTGGGAATGTTGTTACTGTCCCGGGTGGACTGGACCACCCTGGCGACATCATAGACGCCAGTGACGTATTGCTTCATATCGGGGGTATTTCAATACCTATTTCAAATCCTTCTGTTACGTCAGACAAGCAAGACTGTCCAACAGAAACGTGAAATTGCATTTTAGAGATGGACTATTTCGCAAGGAAACTTGATGCAAGTAGTTTCTCAAGTCCAAGTGGGAGCGAGCGAGCGATCGCGCGAGCGCGTGCGAAAATCACCTCGCAGGTCTTCGCCGCGTGTTCAGGTTTCCTCGCGCGAGGTGATTTTCCCGCGCGCTCATATGCTCGCTCACCCTAATAAAACTGAGATACACGAGGACTACTCGTAGTCTAGGAAACTTCTTTCGATTAAGTTCCTTTGCTTGCTAGTGAAAGAGATGAGGTACTTTCCTTGTTAGATGTCAGGCTTAACAAGACAATGACTCTAAGTGGAACAGTCTGCCAAGTTTTATAGAGGATTCCAAATTATAAAATTAAAAATGTCGAACTTTCGGTGGCCGACAAATTTTAGTGAATTGGTCAAATTGACCGCGTTTTTCCTCGGACTCCTCTTATAGAAGAACTAGTCTGGTTATTTATTAGCTATTAGCTTCAAAATGAAATGTTTTTGTTATAATATTCATGGGGGGGGGTTTGTGCTGAGGGAGACATGGCCTGAACTTCATGCTTTATGTACCTGTTAACCACCTCTTGCTGCTTTTCTTATTTCAACATTAATTTTTATGTGTGATGGTGCAAAGTTTCACCCTTTTTCCCCTGGTACCCACCACCTTGGGTATCCCATTTGTACCCCCCTCACCACCCCTAAAGAATTCCTGCCCATTTTACACCCTATTTCCAGGTCTCCATCCCTTCACTTACAAAATATGCACAAAAATTCAAAACTGCGTAACAGGGAGTGAAATCACTATTAATACAGAACTCAGCATGGCTAGTGTCATTAGTGAGGGTTCCAAAGGTCGCGGGAGGGAGGATATCAGTTTTAGAAAACAAGACTCAAAAAACCTTTTCCAGTAAGCTGTTCTTTTCTTCCAGTTCAACCCTTTCTTTAGTGATCTTGTCAACCTCTTCTTTCAAGGCAGCAGAGTACCATTTTTCTTCTTTCAGTGAAGCATTCAACTCGTTGAGTTCTTGCTGCAGATACAAAATCTCTTGCGTTTTATCCTCCAGTTCTTTAAGCTGGCTGGACAATAGAGAAACCTCAGACTCCTTTCTAGGAGCTGGAAGCTCCTCATCAAAAGACGAGAACGAGCCATGTCTCTCACTCCAAATCTTTGTTGAATCAGCAGGTAAACTCTGTGACAAAGGTGCAACTGATTTCTTAACCTTTAGAGATGAAAAGTAACATGTTAGGGCGGTGAATAGTTAATGCAGGACTTTGCGAGAAGGTGGCACTAGCATTTTTCTTTGTAAGCCTGAGACATTTTGACTTTTTAAATTGCAGGGACAAGACTTCAAAGTGTTTCAAATGCAAGCACAGGACCTTCAGACCCTAAGACATTGAGATGTCATATACAAAAGCAAACAAATCGGGACTTCTAGACTTTCATACCCTTGCAAAAAATCGAGACATTGAGACAGCTTAGTTTGTGAAAAAAATTGAGACTGCAAGATGCACACAACCACTAAAAAAGGGAGACTGTGAGACCTGTGAAATTCAAAACAGATTTTGTAACACTATGAAGGACCAATCGCCACCCCGTATGTTGACTTCAAACATCGCATAAAGGAGTAATAATTTATTGAGATCCAGTCACAAAATTCCTCTTTGAATAGAGACAATGGCTTTGAATTAGCCAAGTGAACATCTATGACACTAATTAGCTCCCTCAAGACCCTAAGAACATGCTACAACCCTCCTTAGTATATACCACACAAGTGAATAGTGCTTTTCGCACGCTCTAATTGGTTAACTCTGAGGTGATTAGCAAGTACTGTTCACCTCCGAGCAGCCAGCGCGAGAGATTTTAAAATTTCCAAGCGCTTGTCACACATAACATAAAGTCTTGGTCCGCTAATTATTCAGCTTGTGTTGTATATGTTGTAGGTAATTTTTTTCTTCAGGTAAATTTGATTTTTACCTAGGTAATATTTTTTTAACCAGGTAATTTTAAAACAAATTTTTTTACCTGGATATTTGGACCGAGGTGAGTCTGGGACCCAAAAAAGCAA